ATTAAGATATTTACAATAAAAATTAAGATATTAATTTTTTAAAATATTAATTTTCTTGATTTCTATTAATGATAATTTATTTATTTGAAATTTTAATAAAAAATTTTAAATATATATAAATATATATCAATTTTATTATTAGGAATCAAAAATTCAAGCAATAAATGAAATTAAAAAAGAATATAAAAATATTACAGATAATTTTGTTTCTCAAAATTTGATATCTCATCAACCTTCAACAAGTAAATCTGCGATGGCCAATATTTTTGCAAAAAGAAATCAAACAATCCTTACTCCAATATATGATGAATTTATTCGTTATCAAAATAAAGATCTTCTTCCAGCTTTAGAAGAACATGATCCTTTTAAATGGTGGCAAATTAATAAAATTCATTATCCAAAATTATCTCAACTTGCAATAAAATATTTATCAATTCCTGCAACTTCTGTACCATCAGAAAGATTATTTTCTGATGCTGGTAAATTAATTACATTTGAAAGAACATTATTAAATCCTAATTTAGTAGAAAAATTGATGTTTTTAAAAAGAAATCAGAATTATATAAATATTTAAGCTAAAACAAATTAGATAATAGCATAAGTTTTTTTAAAGATATAGATATAATAGTTTATTAATTATGTTTATATTTTATAGATTTATGTGTTTTATTATATTTTTTATTTTTAAGGTGGAGTTTTTTTTAGCAAATACTTTTTTCTCCACAATTTTAATTTATTTTTTTATTTTTTTTTATTATTTTTTATTATTTATTATTATTTATTATTATATTTTATATAGTAAAATAAATATAAATTATTATTTATATTTAATATCGAAAAATTAAAAATTACTATATATTTAAGATTCAATTATCGATTATTAATCGATTCTAGGATGTTCGATTACGATTCTAGTTTTTAGAATCGATTTATAGCCCTATCCCACAGAGTACATTCATTTATAATGATTTTGTTACACGCGTTTTTGTAATTGCATTTAATATTATCTACTTGTGAAGAGGATTGCATAATAGAATCTTCTCGAACGCTTATGAGAGTTGAAGGAATACAGTCGACTATGGATATAATGAGCTCAAAATTTTGAAATTTCATAATAGTTCAGTGCAGAAAGTGCAATAGGCTCGTAAGAAGACATAGTAATTTCTATAACTTACAGAAAGTGCAAAGTGCTCGTAAGAAGACATAGTAATTTTCTATAACGAGCTTTTTTTTTCTTCCAGAATCTTTAGATGTTATAGAAAGAATTGACTGTATATCTCCTAAGCGCAACCCCCTAAGTGCAATTTTTCCCTAAATGTAGCTTTAATGTATGCTTGGCAAGTTTTCTTATTTTGTTCTCTAAATGCATGTTGCTAAAAGTCAGTCCCAATGAATTGCACTTTGAGTGAGTTAACTGCATATCAATTTTAATCAATTATGCCGAAATCACAAATCTAATCGAATCGACCAGGTGTCAATTGTTATCAGGTGTTCCAGGAATCATGAAAATAGCTGTAAACTGATACTTTCTTGTTATCTGGTATGATGTAACGGATACATGGGTATTCGGCAGGATGATAGCAAAAGCACGTGGCCTTCGGCTATGTGCGTTGCTATGAATACCCATGACTCCGATACATCATGCCAGATAACTAGCTTATCCGGCAGGTATGACGTATACACTGACGGAATCATATTATTGCCCAAATAAACTTTCTTTGATTAAATAATAAGCATTGATAATTCGAATGATGGGTGTATAATGATAAGGGAGCGATTGTGTTATTATTCAACTCTTTCTTTAATACTTCAATGCCACATAATAAACTAAGACTTATAAACTCTCGAGAGTACAAAATACAGATAAATGTATCACAAAATGGTTACGGGTAGTTGACAGATATAGAGACATACTCAATTATGAGTTCGAAGAATTTCCTTGCAAATGACGGGAATGAATCTAAAGTTAAATATCCATACTTCTTATACACGATTATTGAAAAATATCTAGCCATTAAACCGTGCAACATATGGACTCTTACAAATCCAAAGCGTTACGAAGACAGTCATGTGGTATTTATTAGGCCATGCAAGTTTTTTTTTTCGTTTTGCATTACTCGCCGGCCCATTTTTCAATTTCTCAATTTTTTTTTTTTTTTTTTTAAGCCCTAATTGCGCTCAGTATACCTAATAGAACTGATTGAAAAAATTCGACTTCCAACCCAATTTCTGATTCCATATTATACAAAGCGAAAAATTAGCTTTTGCGATCCTAGACATGAAGATAAGTCTATTAATTTACTGTAGACCAAAAAAAAAAAAAAAAAAAATCCAACCGACCAACTGGAAATTTTGAAATCCATTGAATGCAAAACGAAAAATCTTATCCTATTTACTGTAATTATAAAATAATATAGTATTCGTTGATTTGATTTGTTTTTTAGATTCAAACATAATGACGGGAACAGAAATATTTACACTTAATGGGTTAGAACAATATTATGAGAGCTTAGGTGTGCATTATTCTAATTACTAATATATTTTAATTACACTATTCGTAGATTCGAGTAATTCAACATCTACTCCATCTCCAACAAGATCTAATTTTAGCAAGAAACCAATATTCAGGTCCCATATTCCAAGGTTATCAGACCAACAACCATATTTAAAATCTATACCAGGAACGGAGTGATATTGAAAATTTCACGCTAGTGTATGGTTATACGGCAAATTAAATGATGTTTGTACGCAAAATCTAGCATCTTATTGGGTATATGCATATGGCGAAGCAAAGGTGAATGCATATTGAAACTTCGCATCCGAAGTAACACTTGCTCCTGTATTTTGTGTCACATGAGATTGTTAGTCTAACTTTTAATGTGCGATACCTGATTCAGTAATTTGTTTTCTCATGGTCGTTGTCATTATACCATTCTGCATATAGAATTAGATCCTGATTCTGGAGATCCCTATAACACAATAGAACAACGCTCATAAAATCGTATATCGATATGTTTTATTTCCCAAATTCGCATTTACTCTTTATTATCCGATATCTACAATCTTTTTAGAGCTAAAAAGTAATCCTATGTTTCACGGTTTTGAAAACATTGTAAATTGATTTTTTGGTTATTTGATTTTCTTGTCGGATGATTTTCCTCCCAAATTATTTTGGCTTAAACAATAAATTATTTGAATATAGTAATTGATTGTTTTGTTATTTTTTAACCAGGCCAATTCTATAAATAATTCGTGATCTATAGAAGGGTTTAGATTTTCAAATTAAGGCTCCAAATTTCAGCATCATCCCTGACAATTAATAAGCATTTGTAATCTATAATGAAAAATGATAAGTGCCATTCTAATATAATAGTTTAAGGTGGTTTTTTAAAATCCTGTCATGAAAGGGATGGGGTCCCGTAGCCTAGTGGTCTAGGTGCCCCTCCCTCCACAGACAAGGTCAACGGTTCAATTCTAGCTGG